ATCATTATTGAATACGACAACGTATTACCAAAAGAAGACGCATTGTGTACTAAAAAACTACATCACAGAAGACTTGTTATCATAAATGTAGACTATAGGAAGACGTCGTGTTAACCTAAATAAAACGATGTCTAGTAGAAGACGATATCATTATTGAATACGACAACGTATTACCAAAAGAAGACGAATTGTGTACTAAAAACTACATCACAGAAGACATGTTATCATAAATGTAGACTAAAGGAAGACGTCGTGTTAACCTAAATAAAACGATGTCTAGTAGAAGACGATATCATTATTCAATACGACAACGTATTACTAAAAGAAGACGAATTGTGTAAAAACTACATCACAGAAGACATGTTATCATAAATGTAGACTAAAGGAAGACGTCGTGTTAACCTAAATAAAACGATGTCTAGTAGAAGACGATATCATTATTCAATACGACAACGTATTACCAAAAGAAGACGAAATTGTGTACTAAAAAACTACATCACAGAAGACATGTTATCATAAATGTAAACTAAAGGAAGACGTCGTGTTAATCTAAATAAAACGATGTCTAGTAGAAGACGATATCATTATTCAATACGACAACGTATTATCAAAAGAAGACGAAATGTGTACTAAAAAACTACATCACCATCGAAAACATGATGTTATAATTTATGTTAAACAACAACATTACTAAAGGTAATAGATTCTTCAACAATAGTAAAATGTTCTATATTGGAATGAGGATGTCGTAATGAAAATTATCATTAAACATTAATTCTGCAAAAATTAATACCTCGTATATGTACAAACCGATTTTTGTTATATCATTGTCTATTGACAACAGAATTTCAATTGATTATTGTAAATATATAGTGTACAGTGTTAAAATGTTAATAAAGTTTTGTGTTTCTTTTTATTTATTTCTGTGGTTCTTGACGATTTATTGTTTGTTTTATGTGATTTTGCGTCAAACCACACGAGAGATATCTGCCATACCTGTCCCTAATTTTCAACTGCAAATCACTTGCCAAAAAATACAGACAAATACAACTTTACGTAAAACAAAATCAAAATATCACAAATTAGAACAAAATATTTTAAACTATAGTGACTAAAATACAATCCGAGATCTGAATTAGAGACAAAATTCAATCTAACTTAAAATTTAAATCATAATTCAATTTATATCTATCAGTGCCAACAAGATCTGATCATGTCTGATTATCAAGATTTTTCTGAATCACTTTCCCTCGAACAACTAGAAAGATATAACAAAAATGAATTGCTTGAAATTGCCAAAGTTTTAGAACTAGAAGTTAAAAGATCAATGAGAAAAAAATGAGCTAAAAAAGCTTAATAATAAACTAGTCGATGATGATTTGAAGCCTGAGGAGGCATTAGAGGAATACTCTAGTGTCCCTACTAGCCAATCAGAGTTGAGTGATAAAGATAAGTTAAAGGACCAGCAAAAACGCTAACAAATCGAGCTTGAACAAGCGCGTATCGAAGCCGAGAAAGAACAGTCTCGTATCGAAGCTGAAAGAGAGGATAAACGTCTCGCGGCCGAAAAAGCTCGCATTGAAGCCGAAAGATAAATTAGGCTGAAAGAAATGGAAATTAGACTCAACACCGATCAACCAAGGCAAAATGACAACTTTGAACTTAATCGATATGTTAAAGTACCACCCTTTAATGAAAATAAAATTGATAAATATTTCCAACATATTGAGAAGGTTGCCAAAACCATGGAATGGCACACCGAAAAATGGTCATTATTATTACAAATTGTCTTAACTGGTAAAGTACAAGAAACTTATGCCGTTCTTTCTCTAGAAGATTGTACGAATTATGATAAGGTTAAAAGCAGCTATTCTCAAAGCATACAAGTTAGTACCAGAGGCTTATCATCAAAGTTTAGAGGTTATCGCAAACAAGATAATCAATCTTATATGGAGTTTGCCCACGAAAAAGAGGTTTATTTTGATCGATGGTGTAATTCTATGCATATTTGCAACAGTTTCGACAAACTAAGAAAATGATGTGTAATTGAGGAATTTAAACATTGTACACGTGATGACCTCAAAACTTATTTGGATGAAAAGAAAGTTGAAACACTACATGAATCAGCTCTCTTTCCGATGATTACACTTTAACACATAAAACTACTTTTCATAAAAAGAAATTCCTACCATCTCAACAAAAACCTGTATCTGTTCAATCCACTAAAGTTGAGGATTCTTCGAAAAAAATCCAGTTCCTCTAGTTCGAAATCTTTTGATAGTCAGGATAAAACTTCTTTAAAACAACCAAGGTCTGTCTGCCATTTCTGTAAAAAACCTGGTCATGTTATGCCCAATTGTTGGGGTTTTGAAAAAGAAGAAAGAAAAGGAGGCAACACCCACTGCGTTTCTGTCCCGATATGGACGTAGTTTCACAAATGGGTATTTTTTCAAAAATGGTGTGCTTATGAAAAAATGGAGACCACCAAATGTGCCAGCTTCAGAAGAGTGGACTGTAGTTTATCAAATTGTTTTTCCTAAAGCACATCGTTCTGAAATATTGAAAGTTACCCATGAACTCCCCATGGGAGGTCATTTAGATGTCAACAAGACATGTGACAAAATTATACGACATTTCTTTTGGCCAAAAATTAGGCAAGACGTTTCTCAGTTTTGTAAAGCTTGCCATACCTGTCAGTTGGTCGGAAACCTATCCAGAAAATTCCTGTTGCTCCTCTGAAACCTATCCCAGCATTCAAAGAACCCTTCAGTCGTGTGATTGTTGATTGTGTTGGACCTTTACCAAAAACTCGAGCCGGGAATCAGTATTTGTTGACTATCGTGTGCGCATCCACTCGATTCTCTGAAGCTATCCCTTTGAGAAATATTTCAGCCTAAAAAATTTCTCAGGCTTTGATCAATTTCTGTACTTTTCTTGGCTTGCTCAAAGAAATTCAGTCTGATCAGGGATTAAATTTTATGTCAGGGTTGTTTCAACAAGTTGTTTATCAGCCCGGTGCTAAACAGATCAAATTTAGTGTGCATCTTCCAGAATCGCAAGATGCTCTTTAGAGATACCATTCTACCTTGAAAAATATGATGTGAACTTATTGTCTCGTTAACGAGAAGGATTGGGATGAAGGAATTAATTTATTATTTGCTGTTCGTGAGGGTTTACCCCATTTGAGTTGGTGTTTGGCCATTCAGTGCGTAGTCCTTTGAAGTTGCTGAAAGAACAATGGTTGGAAGATGATCTGAAAGAAATGTACTTGTTGGATTACGTTCCAAGTTTCGGTCCAGACTCTTACGTGCTTGTGAATTGGCTCGAGAAAATTTGAAGTCATCCCAAGCTAAAATGAAAAATGTTTATGACCATAAGGCTGAATAGCGTAAATTCCATCCTGGTGACATGGTCTTAGTATTGTTACCCACTATGGGACATCCATTCAAAGCTAGGTATCATGGTCCCTATGAAGTTGTTCGGAAAGTTAATGATACAAACTATGTTGTAAAAACACCTGATCGTCGAAAGGCTACCCAGCTGTGTCATATTAATATGTTGAAGCCCTATCACATACGAGGTGCATCCGATAATATTTTAGCCGTTGGGTGTTCTTTTGATTCTGATAACAGTTACTTTGACTCAGACACCCGTAAATTTGAAAATATTGGAGACGAATGCAACATCAAACTGAGTAATTCTGACATTCTGGCCAATCTTGATTCAAAACTCGATCACTTACCTCCTGAAGAGAAAAATCAACTTGCTAGTTTATTGACTGAATACGAATGTATATTGCCAGATGTTCCTAATCAAACCAACGTTGCTGTGCATGATGTAGATATAGGTGACGCTTCTCCTGTAAAACAACATCCCTATCGTGTGAATCCAATCAAGGCCGCTAACATGCGTAAAGAAATATCTTATATGCTGGAAAACGTCATTACAGAGCTCAGTAAAAGTGATTGGTCTTCACCTTGTGTACTGGTTCCTAAATCTGATGGTTTGGTTAGATTCTGTACAGACTTTCGCAAAGTAAATGCTTTGACAAAGACAGATTCTTATCCCATTCCAAGAATGGAAGATTGTATTGATAAAATTGGAAAACCCAGATATATCACAAAGTGTGACCTACTAAAGGGATACTGGGCTGTTCCTCTAACTGACAGAGCAAAAGAAATATCTGTTTTTGTTACTCCTGATTGGTTATACCAGTACAATGTAATGCCTTTTGGAATGAAAAATTCTCAAGCAACTTTTCAGCGAATGATGAATCAATGCCTCAACAATCTGTCAGATGTTGGAATTTATGTTGATGATTTTCTGATTTCCAGTAACACATGGGAAGAACATTTATGTGTATTACGTGATGTATTTTAGAGGCTTAAGAAAGCCAATCTCATTGTAAATTTGACAAAAAGTGACTTCTGTAAAGCCAGAGTTGTTTACTTAGGTCATGTAGTAGGCCATGGTCAAGTTTCTCCAATTCAAGTCAAAGTTGATTGTATTGTGAATTATCCAATTCCTACCAACAAGAAAAGTTTGATGAGATCTTTGGGAATGGCTGGTTATTACAGGAGATTTTGTAAAAAATTTGCTGACATCACTGTACCATTAACAAACCTTTTAAAGAAAAATCAAAAGTTCAAATGGTCTGAAATATGTCAATCTGCTTTTGACAAGGTCAAATCTCTGTTATGCACTTACCCTGTATTGATGGCACCTGACTTTCATAAGCCTTTCGCATTAGCTGTTGATGCCAGCTGGTGCTATTCTATTACAATCAGACGACAAAGATATTGAACACCTGTTTGTTATTTTTCTAAAAAGTTTAATTGTCACCAAAATAATTATTGTACTGTAGAAAAAGAAACATTGGCTCTAGTGTTAGCTTTAGAACAATTCAAAGTGTATGTATCTGCATCACAACAACCTATTGTCATTTATACTGATCATAACCCGTTGACGTTTGTAAACCAAATGAAGGACAGAAACAGAAGACGGTTAGATTAGAGTTTATCATTACAAAAGTATGATCAAATGAACTGCAAAATAAGCAAATACGTTTAGTGTTTACTGATCAGAACACTAATATAAACAAAATAAACAAATACGTTTAGTGTTTACAGATCAGAACAATAATATAAACAAAATAAGCTGATACGTTTAGTGTTTACAGATCAGAACACTTATATAAACAAAATAAGCAAATACGTTTAGTGTTTACAGATCAGAACAATAATAATATAAAGAAAATAAGCTAATACGTTTAGTGTTTACAGATCAGAACAATAATAATATAAAGAAAATAAGCAAATACGTTTAGTGTTTACAGATCAGAACACTAATATAAAGAAAATAATCAAATACGTTTAGTGTTTACAGATCAGAACACTAATATAAAGAAAATAATCAAATACGTTTAGTGTTTACAGATCAGAACACTAATATAAGCAAAATAATCAAATACGTTTAGTATTTACAGATCAGAACATTAATATAAACAAAATAACCAAATACGTTTAGTGTTTACATATCAGAACACTGATATAAACAAAATAAGCAAATACGTTTAGTGGTTACAGATCAGAGCACTGATATAAACAAAATAAGCAAATACGTTTAGTGGTTACAGATCAGAGCACTGATATAAACAAGATAAGTAAATACGTTTAGTGGTTACAGATCAGAGCACTGATATAAACAAAATAAGCAAACACGTTTAGTGGTTACAGATCAGAGCACTGATATAAACAAAATAAGCAAATACGTTTAGTGGTTACAGATCAGAACACTAATATAAACAAAAAAACCTAGTGGACAATTTAGAGAAGTTTTCCAAGCATGTAATCGTACAGGGTAGGTTACTATTGACATCTGACACAGAAATCTGTAAGGTTTTTAATAACCAAAATAAATGGCTCTTTCACCGCTTGTAAATAACTTCTACTGCCTCTCTTCATTTTTCTATTTCTTAGAGTATTTTGTATCAAAACCCCAATATCAACGGGACATTATTTCTGATGGTTTTACACCCACTGTCATTGTAACCTTTCAACTTCTTGATGAGCTTTTTCATCTTGTATATTTTTATCTTGCTTCCTCAACTGTTTTATCATTAGTTTCATCGTCTTTAAAAGATATCTATTTTATAAGGAAACGAGTTACTTTAGGATTCAAAGGGTGTTGTTAAGTATCACCTCATTCTCTGCATGTGATGGAACGTGGTTCCTCAGAAAAAATCAAAAATTAACATAGATGTTGGTTACCTGTTTCATAACCAATTACTGTAGATAAAGTCTTGGTACAAGATTGAAACAATATAAACACTGAAATGGAAAACTATTATGAAAGCTAAGCTTTTAAAATCAGTTAGTTTATTCAATACTTGTAAGAAGTAATTATGTAATTTTGTAATTATATGAGTTTTCTCGTTAGTCATCATTTTTTCTCTCCAGACAAACATAATATACTACTTCATGTTCAGGTTCTTCTAATTAACACTTTACAGGAGACTTTTCTTCGGTTTGTAGATAACTGGGAAATAACTTTCAATTCCTTTTTACTGTTTTAGGTTATTTTAATACCAGATATTTATAACAGTAATTAATAGATGATTCTGCATCATTGCAATATTACCAATAGGATGATATGTGAAGTCTCATGATAGTTTGGATCATTGGTTAAACTGAAATTCTGAAATAGATGGAACTTCTTTTTCTTATCGACTTTAACATTCCAACCAGAAGACAAGGAACGTTAATGGCTGAATCTTCGTGAAATGCTCGCTAAAAACGTATAAATATTTGGTTGGAGTTAATTTCTTCCTACGTGTAACAATGATTAATTTTTCAATAAATGTTTATCTTGTAATGTAAACTTAGGAGGAAATGGGATTCTTCTAAGTTATAATTACTTCCAAACACATTAATTGTTTCTGAACATAACATAAGTGGTACCAATAAATGTTTATGACGACAAATGTGTTGAAGATTAACATGTTAACAGAGCCATGTTTTATTCCCAACAATCCTGCCGTTTCTAAACTTAGTTAGGCCTACACGATCATACATTCAGCTATTACTTTGTACTATTGTAGCGATAACTGAGCTAACGGTAATTTATCAATAAGTACATAGCTTCACTGCTGACGATTAATTTTAAAATACTTAAAATTAATCGCAAAATTATCAACATTTACATACCTATTAAACGTTACCGTCGCATCTTCCTTTGTAGAAAGCGTTTTCAGGCGATGACTTGAACCTGGTAATACCACACGTGTGAGATATACAAAAGTTGTTCATTTAGAGATAGGTGAATCGAAAACAACGTATGATATGAACACTCAATGGTCCATTTTAAAGTCCATTAGAATATAGCACCTAAACAATGACGAATTTACATAAAACGAAAACAAATACCACATACACAAACAAAGTAACATAATATTAAATACTTGGCTAACAATACAAATATACAAAAACTTGATCCAACATTTCTCTGATAACAGGTAACAGCAAAGAGTATTCATACCATTTCTCTGATAACAGGTAACAGCAAAGAGTATTCATAATGTCACGTCTCCGTTTGTTAATTGATTTTCCG